TTGGGGGGGGGGGAGGGAGGGGGGAAAGAAGGGAGCGCAGGGCACAGGGGTGGGATAGGGGGACAGATCCCCAGGGAAAAACAGGAGGAGTTGAAAGACGAGGGGGTCGCCCCCCACCCCCCCACCCAGGGACCCCGCTGTCCCTTGGGGATGCGATTTTCTTTGTGTCTTTTGCTTGTTAAACAGTTACTCTTTTTAAAAGAAAAAAAGTGCCTAGGCAGTGTTTTCAGCTTGGACTTTAAAGTCTAGAACCTTGTATGTGTATGTCTTAGTTACCAGATTTTTCTTATTTAGATAAAAATTCACAAAGGTAATCAATTAGAATAACAGCCTGTACCAACCTTCAAGAGACCTTTTGCATTTTATAAAGTACTGTAGCCTTATTATTGTTATGATGACAAAGTCATCCACCAGGAGAAATTAATATTGCGGTTAGAACACTTCAGGGGCCATTCTATCCTGCTTTGCGCGTGTGTGTGACGACCCCATTAATACTAACAGAAATTACGTGCACTTGAAGAGTGGTTTTGGTGGCATAGATAAAAAGTTTCTTCCTTACGGTCATTTATACAAAATGATAGTCAATGAAATTTTGCCAGAAAAATCACTACAGGCTACACTTAACTTGGAAGCTCAAGCCTGGCAAATGCAACAGCATTTTACCAGCTCAGGATGGACCCTGGAAGTGAATATGTCTCACTGGTCCTTTGCAGTGTGATGACTTCTGAAAGGTGCAGATGTGAGGGAGGCCGAGTGGAAAGTCAACTCTGGCTTAATTCTTCTTGCCCATGCCATACACGGAAGAAAGAACATTGAGTATGCAGTCTTTGTACGCCTTTCTGCGACTGAAGTTCTGAGATTTATAAATCCCTTCTAGCTGGTGTAAGTTTTTCGTTTTGGAAGGTATCTAAGGGCAGGGTCAGATCACAAGTGATTAAGCAGCGCATACTAACAAGATCCTGATCTTTAGCTGAAATGCAGGTACTCCTCTCCGGCCCCTGCCCTGGGGATGTCCCTAGATACTGGCCGGGACACACGGCCCTTGCTCCCAGCGGGAGCTTTAACAAAGCATTGGGGAAAGCTGGGGATTTAAACCTAAAAATAAACCAGCCCTCGGGCCCGGGGAGGGAAGAGGAGGAAGGGGAGGAAGAGGAGGAAGCCCTGCCTTGCCCACCTGAGCTCCCAGCGAGCCCCAATGGAACTGAGGAAGAGGAAGAGGAGGAGGAGGAGGAGGAAGAGGAGAAGGAAAAGGAGGAGGAAGAAGCACTGTCTTGCCCACCTGAGCTCCCCGTGAGCCCACAATGGAGCCGAGGAGGAAGAGGAGGAGGAAGAAGACCTGCCTTGCCCACCTGAGCTCCCAACGAGCTCACAATGGAGCCGAGGAGGAAGAGGAGGAAGAGGAGGAAGAGGAGGAAGAGGAGGAAGAGGAGGAAGAGGAGGAAGAGGAGGAAGAGGAGGAAGAGGAGGAAGAGGAGGAAGAGGAGGAAGAGGAGGAAGAGGAGGAAAGCACCCTCGAGGCCCACACGAGCAGGACCGAGCACCTGGACCATCACCAGCAGGAATTCAGCCCAAACTGGGCAAACTGGGACCCCCCCCCCAACCAGTGGAAAA